AAGAACATGTAGCCGAAAAGATGTTTTGAGTTTTGATTTAGTCGGTTAAATTTGGATTATAGTTGGAACAACATGGCACTTCAACTTCTTCTGACCAAATACACCATACTTGGTATTCCAATTGAAATCATTTGGTTCTCCACAAGACTTGCTAAAGTTCGGTTAATATGTTTTGATTGAAAAGTGTAACCCTGTGGTTTTCTTATATACCTCTTGGTACTAAGCTATTCTCATGCAAACATCCTTTGTGTTATGCTCTTTCTTTTATGAGAAATTAATCTTGGACCCAAAATCATGGGATCAATTACGGGGACAAGTAATGTGTCTCTGCGGTAAATCATTGGTGTATGTTGGAATCCCAAGAAAGTGATACATATCACCTTGTCCCTGTACTTGGTCCATGAAATTTGCGTGCAAAAATTACTCTTCTTTTATCATATAATAACATACGGGCATTTCCTTGATACTTCAGATCGGGAGGCCAGTGGTATTTTCCCTGGCAGCCGAAGGCGAAGCTGGCGTTAGAAAAGTGCTTCAGATGCTCCGAGACGAGTTTGAACTCACAATGGCGCTCAGTGGATGCACTTCACTCAAAGAAATCACCCGAAACCACATTGTGACCCCCGCGGAGCAGAATCGCATTACTCCTAGGTTATAAATCTCACCCTCAAAACTCGGCGGTCTATTTGTGAAGGAGGGAATGTTTCGACCAGTTTCTAAGAGTTTATATATGGCTTTGAACTATTGAGTTATTGTGACAGTGATGAATAATATTTTTCATATGTTGCTACTGATAGTGCGTCCTGTATATATATATATATATATATATATATTTCTTTTTTTAATTAAATGAATTAAATATAAAATTCTTACTTAGTTACGAGTATGCCATGTGACTAAATGATATCACACAAACTGTTACACACAAACTATATCTCTCTCCGAAACACAACTAAAATTATATACTTAATGTTTTTATGTGATGTTGGTGTTGATGGTGCGTGCGTGCGTAGCGATGGTTGTATTGGCTAGTGAGTTGGTTAGTTGGTTGTTATTTTATTTTGTTGTGGGGCGTTCGTGCGTAGGGTCGTTGGTTATGTTGTTGGTTGGTGGGTGTTTTCGTCGTGGTGGTGGTGGTGGTGGTGATGATGATGGAGGGGGAGGGGGTGGGGGGTAGGAGTTTGGTTGGTTCGTGGGTGGGGGATTGTTATTGTAGTGGTGGTGGTGTTGTTATTGTTGTGTTGTGGTGTTGCATGTGTTGTATTGTCGTGATCGTTATGTGCGTGCTTGATGTTGGGTTTGGTCGTGGTGGGGGAGGGGGAAGTGTAGGAGTTTGGTTGGTTGGTGGGTGGGGTTGGGGGATTGTTATTGTGGTGGTGGTGGTGTTATTATTGTTGTGTTGTGGTGCCGCATGCAGATGTATTGTCGTGATTGTTATGTGCGTGCTTGATGTTGGGTTTGGTCGTGGTGGGGGAGGGGGAAGTGTGGGGATTGGGTTGAGCTGGGTACTCGTGCGTGCGTGTGTGCGTGTCGGTGGAGATAGGTACGGGTGCGTGCGTTGTTAAAAACATGTGCGTGCTTGCGTATAATACATAAATATATGCCATGATACTCTCTCTGAATCATATAACATGTAAGAATATGCCATGATACTCTATTATTGCTATACTTGCATGTTATGCCTTGTTGTTTTACAATTTGTTACTTTACTGTAAAATTCAGTTTTTGATGATGTACGTATTGCTCTATAACGTTTTATTTATTTTTTTAGGCTGGGACTTCTCGACAAGGTGGAGTTGGTGATGAGGATGATGATGATCGGGACTGAGTTTATTTGTTTTAACATTAAAAACAATGGGTGTGCTGTATAAACATTTCTAATGTTGAGATATTTATTATGTTTTTAGTGAAATAATTGATATATATGCGTGAAATATGTGTTATATGTGCTTGTGTTGTGTAAATTTATTGTACAGGTTATTGTTGTGAAATATATTGTACAGGAATTTCTTATTTTCAAAAAATTTTTTAAAAAAATTCAGATTATTTTTAGCGACGGATATTCCGTCGCTAAAAGCTCTTTTAGCGACGGAAAACTGACACGCAGATGTGCACTAAAAAACTTTTAGCAACGGATTTTCCGTCGCCAATAAATATTGGCGACGGAAAATTATATAGCGACGGATTTTCCGTCGCTATATATCCGTCGCCAAAATTTTATTTTGGCGACGGAAATTCCGTTGCCAAAAAATTATACTTTGGCGACGGATTTTCCGTCGCTATATTTCCGTCGCTAATTTATAGCGACGGATTTTCCGTCGCTAAAAGTAGATTTACCTACCCTGGCAATAGTGACGGATTTTTAGCGACGGAATTTATTTTTTTCCGTCGCTAAAACTTTTAGCGACGGATTTTGGACTTTTTGCGACGGATTTGTCCGTCGCCAATAGTCCCCTTTGCAGTAGTTATCTTAAACTCCTAACTACGGATATGTGACGGCTAAGGAATATAAATGAGCTACAGCAAGCTACAAAGCCTATGTTCCTCCGATCTCACAAAACATGGGGAGTTAAGTTTCTCCTATGTAGAAAAAACATCTCCTACTTACTCCTCCCTAGATACTATGCCAGATGAGGAGAAGAAAGCTACTAAACAAGAAGTATCTTTGTTCCTCTAAGTGAGGCATATCAATAGGAAGAAGCATGTTTTTGCACCAAAATTTAATGTCAAGCCTGAGATAGCCACACGATATCTAATTGTGTTTTAGGTTCACATTTGTGAAACCTAATCACTGTCAGAGACTTTACTTGTGAAGCTCCAAAGATATTTCTTTAACCACCATCTCAGTTAACAAATAGTCTTACATAGGGCAAGACACTCGAAGATCCAAGTGTCTCTATCATGATTCAACTCACCCTATGCCTTCGACCAATTGTTAATGATTTGCTTGAGCTTAACCTTCTCAACCGATAGCAAGTCCACTAGTTGATCCCTACCCTGCATAAAATATATAGTGAGTGAAGCTAGAATACTCGAGATATCAATTAGAGCTGAAGAAACTAAAGTGGTCATGACCAAAGGATCAGAGTGTAGTATGTCCAGCACTGCTATTGATGTATCCAACATTGTTGTTGTGGGTATGACCAAAGGTTCATAGTATTGTGTGACCGATGCTGTCATCGTAGGCTCAATATGCATGGCCGTAGATCCAACATGCATAGGCTATATTCCAACATTAATAATTTCGACACATGGTTCGACGGGTCTTTCTATCATTGATGTAGGCATACTCACTCTATCTTCTTGAGGAATTAGATAAATTAGTACATTGTCATCAGACTTAAACAACTCCTTGATAGAAGCTGAGCACCTAGCAACTGAAGGTTTGTTCATGATAGGAGAAGGTAGGGTAGTCGTGGTACCAACTTCACGTTTGGGCTCGACATCTACAACGAAGATGAGATATTTATTTTCAAATTGAAAATAACTACATCATCATGAAGAGAATCATACCTAAGATGTGGGAGGGTCCCCTAGCATCGGATCCTCATGTGGAGTCATCAGGTTCAGTGAAGTAAGCATCATGCATGGACTCTTTATCATTAAATAAGAGACAAATGCAGTCAAGATGTAGATATATCTGAATATAAAGATGAAAATGAATCTTACTAAAATAGCCGAAGGCTCAGCTACTGGCTAATATGTTAAAGATGCATATGACTTTTCTTTTGACTTTGGAGGCTCCTCCATCATAAAGGCTTTTTCCTTTAGGGGTAACTTCAAGTGTCATCATTTGGGTGGCTCTTGTAGGCACCATACTTGTTGTGGCCTCTTCTCATGAGTCCCTCTACTCGTCGCTCAGCTATGCTGGTTCCTGAATATTGATATTGATAGGTCTGCACGGCAGTGATTTTTTAGCAGAGGCACCCGCCGAGTCATCTTCATTTAATGCAGTTTCTACCAAATATTCTTAGAGTATAAGTGCTCCACTTTTTAATCTTCTCTTGGAAGCTTCTCTATACTTCTTGATGGTTTATTTCACAAACCTGAAAGTTCGAATGGGGAACATTCATTGTGCTATACCACTTACAAAATCCTAACGTCATATAATATATATGGACACTATAAGCCCAAATGAATGTGGCTCTAGTTCCCCCAGCAGAAAATGGTACCAAGCATGTGTTGGACCCTAGAGGGGGGTGATTAGGGTCTAAAGACAATGATTATGCAATAAAAATTAAGTCAACCAAACACCACACAATATTATGATAAAATAAAAGGAGATGAGATAGAAATAGTAATTCAAGTGACGCGCGATGTGTTCACGAGGTTCGGATCTCTAGCCTACGTCCCCGCTCCCCACTCTCGAGGAGAATCCACTACACAACCCGGTTTGGAAGCCGGAACTTCTTTTACACAGCGATCTCCACGAGATCTTACAAAGACACAATCAATCTCCACAAGATCTCCACACAACTAACAATAGCACTTGAAGAATTTGTTCTCTCTTACAACAGCCTTATGGCAAGGAGAGAGATATGCACTGAAGCTTTAGATTGGGAATGAGTACGTGTAAAACAGGGAATTGAATTTTGAAAGTCAAGGCTCTTAAACTCAATAATTAAACACAAAAAGATTTTTCTCTTGCAAAGTTAGTTCTGAAATAAATGGGGTAGTTGGATATATAAAGGAAGTTAAAAGAAGAAGCTAAAAACCCCTGTAAAAAGACCAAAAACTCAAATCCCTAAAAATCAGGAAGTCTGACAAACTAGCCGTTATTGATCGGCGGTCGACCGCAGAGTCAATGGCGGTCGACCGTGAGCCAAAACTAGCTGCTAGAAGGCGGTCGCCCGCCGAGCCACCTGCGGTCGACCGTGAGAAAAACTAGATAATACTCAAAGTCTCTGGAAAAAGTACGGTCGACCGCAGTGTCACCGACAGTCGACCGCAGTGTCACCGACGGTCGACCGTGAGATGATGAAAATCAGAGCTGAGTCTCTGAAAAATTGGCGGTCGACCACGGAGCCATGTCCGATCAACCGTGAGAAATTTCCAGGCTAATGAATAGCCAGACATGTTCATGGTCGACCGTCGAACCACGTCTGGTCGACCGTGGACTGATACAGGGCATATAGAGGATTTGAAATCAAGTTTTTGATTTGAAAAAATCCAAGATAATTTCTGAAAGTAGTATAACTTTGTAAAATAGTTTTACTATTAAAAACAAACTATTTTGTTAAGAAATTTTGCACATAGATCCTTATATATATGAAGAACTATATTTGGTCAAAATCATTTAAAATATGAGTGTGAAAAGTGTGTGATCTCCCAAAAAGCTCAAATGAAATCTATGAACTTCCTTGCCTACAATCTATACTAAGAGAAAAAGAAAAAAGACTACAAAAATATCCATCACATAGAGTCATTCTTTGAGTCTTGAAACTATGGGTATCGAAGCCTCCACTTGTATGATGTTCTGTTTAAACATTAAGCTCCAATCATATAGGCCTGCCACCTCCTATAATATGAGGCGTTGTAGCTCATATTCCAGTCCAAATCCTCCTTTCGATGGTACTTAACAAGCTTGAATTCAATCTACACATAATATTCACTCAACAAGCAATTAGTACCGATAATGGTGGTTGTAAATCATCATCAAAACATAAGGGCTAACAATCTCCCCCTTTTTTATGATGACAACCAACCATTATATTTGAGCTAAATAAATATAGCTTATAGATAGGTGCTCCCCCTATCTATGAGCTCCCCCTTACTATGTACACAAATGAGGAGGTGGTCTCTCCCCCTTTGTCACCATCAAAAAGCGGGGTAAAAGAAATGAGAAACATACTTAAATACATAAAATGTACCTCAAGTGTTGGTCCTCACGTATCGCCTCCCTCTAGTGCTCGGAATTACCATCTCTCACTAGGCTACCGACGCCACTCCTCTTGGTATCGACTACGTCCTCACCACACACTCCTCTTGGTAATGATATGTGCTTAAGAAAATGCAACTAAACAAGCAAGCAATGTAGAACTTTCACATAGTGCATAAGCCCAAACCATTTCTTATGCGACAAAAATCATCCTCTCCAAGAGGCTTAGTAAATATATCCGCTAATTGAGATTTTGTGTTAACAAATACTAGGGATACATCTTGTCTTTCAACATGATCGCGTAAGAAATGGTGGCGTACATCAATATGCTTGGTTCTAGAGTGCAAAACTGAATTTTTTGAAATGTTTATGGCACTAGTGTTGTCACAAAAAATGTTTGTATTTTGAAAAAGCAAACCATAATCAACTATGCTTTGTTTCATCCATAAGAGTTGGGCACAACATAAGCCGACGGGAATGTATTCCGCTTTCGTAGTGGACAAGGCAACACAATTTTGTTTCTTGGAAGCCCAAGAGACAAGTGAGTTACCCAAAAATTGACATGTACCACTCGTACTCTTGCGATCTACCTTACATCCGGCAAAGTCGGCATCACAAAAACCATAAAGATCAAAAGAGGTGCTTTTTGGATAAAATAAACCAAGATCAATTATTCCATTGACATATTTAATAATTCTTTTAACCGCAATCAAATGAGATATTTTAGGAGAAGCTTGAAAACGTGCACATGCACACACACTAAACATGATATCGGGTCTACTAGCGGTAAGATAAAGGAGACTACCTATCATACCTCAGTATAGTTTTTGGTCTACATCCTCACCACTATCATCCGCATCAAGCTCGATACTTGTACTCATTGGAGTTGGGGCATGCTTAGAGTTATCCAAACTAAACTTCTTCACCAATTCTCTAGCATACTTGCTTTG